TGATGATGCACAAACATTCCTATGAATTTGATTCCGCAAGATATTCTGATAAATGTGCTCACCTGCCTCTCACGCGCGCTCAAAAAGGGTGCGTTTTTGACCCTATGTTGCAAAAAAGTCTCCGTAAAAAACTGCCCACTTGAGCTGATAAGTTCTAATTTTTCTGTCGTGCAATGCAGACCCTACTCTAACTAGCTGTATACTTACTTTGTCCAGGCCTTAACTTTTTAGCAAGTGAGAGGGATGATTTGTCAGATGATGTCAAAACCGACCTGCCTCTCTTTTTAACTCAAAAAATTCCGAGCTTTAATCGTACGAGGTTTCCACTCATACTGTTAAATGGGGGGATCCTAGTGAGTCATTTTATGATTAAACTAATTCACTCCCCGGATTTTGAACTGAAATATTGCTGGTCCAAAACTCTTGGTGAAAAAACGACATTAAGATATCCGGTACCTAATATTTCCATAGTGTTTGATTTTGGGACTAGTCGACACAACAAACTTCACCTCTAATTCTCCCCAAAATGGTCGTCGAGCGGGGAGGGGGTGAATATGTCTCGAACAACGTAGTAACGGCAGGTCCTCCCATCTTCTCTACTTCACCCTCATCTCTATTCTATGAAAATTCCCATGTTCGTCAAAGACCAATTAAAGCAATTCCCTCTCTGACAATCACTACCCCTTTGTTTCTGCATTGGTGAATAGGTAAGGTATGAGCGAATCGCCGGAGAAAAAAACATCTTAGATTCTCGCATGCAAATAAAATTTTCTATCAAGTTTATTGAGCACATGAACAATCAAGAACTTGTTAGACCATGGTAGCTTTGGCGAGTTGTGCTGCCGCAACAACACGTTTCCTCGTTGGACATTTACAGTAGCTCGCATCATCACCAGGTCCACCCTAAACAACCAACAATTTAGCGCCATGTTAAATTGTGATAAATCACAACTTCTTACCTCATTGGCAGAATGACCCATTGGTCCCGGGAGACCAGGATTTCCGGGTGATCCTGCGGGACCAGGCTCTCCAGTTGGTCCCATTGGTCCGCCGCCACCATCTCGTCCTGAATAGCCAGGCGTCCCCATTGGTCCTATTTCACCTGTTGGTCCCTTTGGTCCGGCGGGTCCTTTCTCTCCTCGAATGCCATCGTTTCCAGGTGGTCCCGCTTCTCCCATTTTGCCAGGTTTTCCTTCTTGTCCTCTATCTCCTGGCATTCCTTGCATTCCCGGGTTTCCTGGACGACCAGGCATGCCTGGTGCCCCTTCTTCGCCCTGAAAACAAACTCCCAGTGTGATACAAACTAAGCATGCTCGAGCTAGGTCTCTTTGTAATCTTTGCATGCATTCTTACCATTCCTCCAGGCTCTCCATGGGCTCCCATATATCCTAATTGACCTGGCGGCCCGGGTGGACACTTCCTGCAACCTTTGTTGTCTACCTGGATCTTGTCGAGAGCGATTCCAATAGAGCCAGGTTCTCCGGGAGCTCCAGGCTTACCTTTATAACGAAATCGTATGCCTTACACTTTCCGATAAAAGTATAAAAACGTACCTGCTTCACCATTCAGACCAGGTTGACCAGGTATACCTTTGGGACCTGCACCGCAAGCATTTCCTGCTTCGCACGCTGAAAATAATCAATTTTGAGCTTTCGTGCACACCGGGTCAAGTTTTCTACGAAACGATCTCCAGAGTAGTGCATTGTCACCATGAATCCCTCTACACAGTTGCCTGACTCGAATGAGCAATTGAGCTTCAGCATTCCTCACATGCTCCCTTGAAAACTGATTGAAAACTTACTGCATAGGCCTTCTGTCACTTGACGTCGTTCACGATGGGTAACTCCACTTGACCGGATATTCTTGAACCCAATACGAACAGCAGTCTCTACTACTTGGAATTCTTCGTTGTGAACCTGTAATTCTATAGTACCTTCTTTGAAACCTCTAGGCCCCTTTAGAACAGGCTCGCTTAAGTTGCGGTAGAAGAGAAATGCGCAGTTTCTGTGAGCTTGAAAACTCGTTCATTCCCATAAGCACATTGCTGATTTTATTTACAAACAGAATTCTGTTAATTAGAAAGTTTTAAATAATTGTAGTGGAGCTGGATCGTACTGTATTTTCCAAATGGGGCAATTTGTTGAACTTGGAAAATTCAAAATCTGATAGATAAAAATGGAGAATGGCGAGCTGGAGCTTGATGGTTGGGTGGCAGGTTGTGAAAAGCATAAAATTTAGTTCTTACTTTCATCGAGTCCAAAACCGTGTCAATTCTGGTCAGCATATAAGGAATGTATGACAGAGTGGAGATGATGACAATACTAGACAGTCCCATCGCTATGAAACTGACCAACCTCGTCCCTTCCATTTTGGACTCCTGAAATATACCGTACAATTACTAGTAGTTCAATTTTTTCGCAAGTAATCGATAGCGAAAGGAACGGGATAATAATGCGATATAGTGCTGGAGCATGAGAAGAGATGATAGAATAAGAAATTAAAGGAATCCTTCACGAAAAAATCATGATTCCATTTCAAGCATAAATCACTGACTTGGGACCAGGGTCAACCCTATCGTTGTTACTTTTCGAAAAATTTTTACGACCCCCCTCCCCCAAGGTGGATTTGATACGACCCCCTTTTCGACACCTCGACCACCATCATCCTCTCTATAGTATTAATTCTGATACCACTCAACCCACCAAACTCCGCCCACTTTTTCCTCCAAAAATGCCGTCGAGCGGGGGGGGGGTATATACGCGGCTGAAACGGCAAATTTTTATCCTGCGCGCCCTCCACTCGCCCAGCCTACTACACCTGATTTGAGCAACTAAAGTGGGTACGACCCCCCTCCTACACAATTTCAACCAGGTACGACCCAACGTAGGGTTGACCCTGTTTGGGACCCATCGTTCACGATGAGAATGGAAAGAGCAAAAAAAAAGAAAGAAAAAAGCATTTGTTTGCTCAACAGTGACAATTTAGGGTAGAATTAGTAAAGTAATCATAAACCAAACAAGCAAATAGATGACCGAAAAACTGGAATGCAGCAGCTCTGTGTTTGAGCATGGACTTATATAGCGATTCGATAAAGCTATACGCGTAATGAACGCGAAGTGGCTACCAGTTTTCGTTTCGTACTAGTTTTTTCTTCTGTTCGCGGCAAAACAAAAGCCTTTCCTACAAGCATCAGCGGCCGATCGCGAAGCCGTTTCTAATGACGTAACATGTGATGGAATAGTATCTACACGAATACAATTGTGAGGGTCCTGGAATAGTGATTTCAAAACGGCGTTCTAAATCGGCTGAACGATTCCCTGAACAGTGTTACGTAGAATTTCTCCTATTTCTGTCTTGCATCTTTGAGCAATCAAAGGTCAGGGTGTTGCTTCCGTGGTCAATTGATTCAGACATGCCCCACGGAGAATTGCAAAAGGAGTTCTAATCAGGGTCAACCGTTACGTTGGACCGACATTGGACCGACGTTGACCGCTCTCCGCGCCGGCATTCACTCTCGCCACCCGCGAGCCGTCTGTGTCTCCGTGCGTACGTTCACTCTCGGCATTACTCTCACACGCTAGAGAGCCATGCGTTGGACTTTGTCCAACGGACGGTTGACCCTGGTTCTAATACCGGCGTCAGCCAGATTGACAGGCCTGCTTCACACAGATATGGCTAAAGTGAGCAAAATAGTCACTAAAAAGCTAGAACGACCTGGAATTAGCATGCGGAATCCCCGCCCGATGTCGGGCTACCAAGGAGTGGTCGACATCGGAGTATCCAAATACGACCTGTCAAAATCATAATCGCGAAGCTTTCGTTTGAATAGTGTGAGCAGGGTCGGTCCTATCGTTAGGACTTTTTTTTGAAAATTCTTTACGACCCCCCCCCTCCTTCGTGACGGATTTCATACGACCCGTCTTCACAACTTCTTTTCTCCTCAAAATCGGAGTGGGGAAAGCCTATATAACTCCATGAAACCGTAAAAATTCTCTACATCTCCCTTAACTTTTACCTCATTCCCCCCACCCCCTATTTTTACCTCTTCTTACCTATATTTCCAC